CGCTGATTATCGTGGGAATTGTTTGAGTGTTCTTCATCGTTGGAATTCATTGAATTTTCCCCAAAGTCTTGATTTTGCTCTTGCTCTTGAGCAAAATTATGACTCACCGATAATGAAATTGGCGAACAAAACTATACAATTAAAAGATAATTTTGTTACAGCTATAATTATTAATTTTATATGAAAATGTTTACTTCTGTGCGAACTGTAATATCTGCTTGCGTCAGTCCGCACTCGACTATCAGCACATCGGGAAATAAAGCAGGTTCATGTAGCTGATACGAACCAGGATGCTCCCCTTCCAAGGCTGTAGAAAATTTATATCGTGTTGAAAATTTCAAAATAGTAAGATAGGCTTACCGTTGGCCAGTGCAGTTGTTGTACGATACACTGGTTCACCTGCCTTATACCCCATGAGAACCATCGGATCAGGATTTCCTTGTCCTATATGGACATTTCCAATAAACTTGGGTGTCACCTGGACCAGGTCGTCCGTCATAGTACTGGCGTCGCGAACTGACCAGCACGGCCTGGTTTACCTCGCACCAGCGAAGAGGCATGATTGGTAGATGCCACTAATGCTGTACAAGCACGTGTTTCACCAAAACATACATGGCCCCACGTACTTGCATCGGCTGTCTCTTTTAAATCAATTGATGAACTCATTTTAACAATTTCATTAGCTTCATCTATATTCAGATAAAAGTGCACGGAGAAAATGATGGCAAGCTATCAGTCTTGCTTTGTTCAGTCTTTATGGGAGTTGAACATAAGACAGATGTTTCTTTTTTACTTAGCTCCCTGAGTCTTTGAGAAAATTACATATTAAATTTTTATTTAAGTGCTTCTATGAAAGATGTAAGAGAACAGAATATAAGATTCTCTTTGTGCGCAAGTTACAGTATTTATATGTGTTCAGTCATGACCACTGCGTGGTCTATCTCAAATTTAAATAAAAAATAAACATTGTTGGATTGTATTCATCATTTTTCATCTTTCAAGAATAAACGCTATGACTCTAACATCTTCACTGGCAGCGATGATCAATAATCGGCTATTATACTCGTCATACTTATACTTTAAAACAAAATACATGTACATGAACACACCATGTTCATATAGAACTCATAAAAAATGAATAAACAAATATATCACACTTGATAGTGTGTTCCCTTTTCAATCGCGATTTTACTTCTCTGCAACACATTTTCACTTATGTTTTGCAGTGCAACTCTCTCACGCATCATTTTACACGTCAATTGAGACTGTTAAATTAGTAAATTAAAGCTCCAGAACACAAACTGAACGTTGTCTAAGCATTATCTCAACTGTTTCGACAATAATAATAAATGCTTCTCAACTAATTGACTTCGTACAGTTCCATAAGAAATTTGTATAATTAATTTAAAAACAATCAATAATATGAATACTGCTTATTTTCAAATACTACAGGTGATCTTCAATCAGGTGCAGTAGAAATATCATCAAAAAGAGTTCGTCATAAAAAATATTTGCTTCTTTATTTTTTGAGTTTAAAAAATGACGATCAATCACTCGTGATTATACTCAAGAAAAAAAAACGTTATTGGATAGAAGACTTTTTTATTTCTTGCTTACAAAATCCGATATTCAATGACTTTTATTTACAGTATTAAGAAAAAGAATAATCGATCAAGGAAATATGCACAATACCATGTCCACAACTTTAGTATATAAGAAAATATATATAAAGAAATTTAGTTAAATTAAAAAGTTAAAAATACTTTTAATTCATCATAATAAATGAATGATAAACTCATGGCATATTTTTCTCTAGATGTCTTAAAATATTTGCATGAGTTAATGAATCGATTATTAATCATGAAAAAAATTGAATAAGATTGATAGAGTCAATAAAATCCTTTACTCTGAAAACAAACATAAGTTTTTAACATTCATATAATAATAGAAAATCCAAACATTTGTTCAACAGACGTTGGAGGATTATAAAGGCATGGAAGAAAACAAACAATCACCTTTGAATATATTTTTCCGCTTTTTGCAAATTATACAACAAGATATTTTACAAGATCAACGTATAATTGAGCACCTAATGCATATTTTGTTTAATTAGATGATTGTTGTTTTCTTTAAAATCTTTTTTTTTCTAACTTTTATTTTTGTTATTGTATAAATATCAGCAATAAGTGCAACTGTTTCATTAATATCATGTTGCACACAGTCCGATCCATGCACACTGTAAAAAAAGAAGTGTTTTACCGAACTTTGAAGGTTTGGTACTATTTTACGAAACGATTTTAAGTCCCGTGGCATGAAAATAGTTTCGGAACTTTCATACAGAACCTTTATAAGTTCCGAAAGTTGTAAAGGGTTTTGAAGTTTCACTACGAAACCATCTAGAAGTTT